GTATTCTAAAAGAATCATTTGTGTTCTCTCTCTCTCTCTGCAGAGCCTACAGCATTAAGAAAGCCCATAGGTTGAGTTGTATTCTAAAAGAATCAGTTGTGTTCTCTCTCTCTCTCTCTCTCTCCAGAGCCTACAACATTAAGAAAGCCCATAGGTTGAGTTGTATTTGAAAAGAATCAGTTGTTCTCTCTTTTTCTCTCTCTTCCCCTCTCCCCCTTTCCCTCCCTTCCCCCCTCCCTCTCTCCCTCCTTCTCTCCCTCCCCCTCCCCTTGTTTCTTTCTGTAAAGGATATGAATGAGAGAGCCGCCACCAAACTGGTACACCTAAATGTATAATTTTAGAATTGAGGGATGGCCCTGTGACCCCAGCTTGGGATGCTCTCCACTGGGTTTACACAGAACTGAGTATTCTTTATTCCTATGTGTTCCCAGAGCCTCCCAGTTCTTCTTATCTTTTGACTCTGCTTTGGATCAGCCTGTGTATGTCTCATTTCTCTTTCTTGGGTATAAACAAGTTGAGGAGACTCTGCTGTGGACACCACTGGATGGTCACAATCCAGCACTGAGCTTTTATACAATTCTATACAATTGGTGTTTATTGAAACTGTAGAACAAATGAATAAAAAGATACTCAATCTGTTTTCTGCCCACTCTTCCCTGACCCTTTCCTCTAACTTTCCACTCCAGAAATATTGAGTTGCTTGCACTTTTCTAATTTTGTGACCTTTCACAGATCTATTTCCTCTCGTTGGCAATTCTATCTCCACGTTCTGGCATGTTGCTTTGTTATGTGCCATCAAGTTAGAACTGCCTCGTAGCTGACTCTGTCAACTGCTATGATCTGGCTGCATGGGAGGAGATTGCGCCTCTTTTCCCCACGGAGTAGCTGGTGGATTCGAACCACATGCCTTTGGGCTGGCAGCACAACTCCTTACCCACTAGACCATCAGAGCTCCCTCCTGTCTGCTGGGGAAACCACTTATCCTCTCACGCACTTCTCCTTGCCTTGCCTCTGCCCCACTCTGCTCATGTCTATTCCATCTCCGTGCCTCTAAAGTTGCCACTCAGTACTGTAAAATATGCACTACAACTGCCCATTTAATCTGGCAACTCTTTTAGCTGACAACTCCTGCTCCAGGGCAGTCGTGTCTGCTCCAAGAAAAAAGCTTTACGGTAAAGCTCTCAAAAGAGGAGCTTACTGGGTGTTTGCGTATTTTTTTTTTTAGTGGAAATAAACAGTTCATTCTTTCAACAAAGGCTAATTTTGTGTCTACTGCTTCATGGCAGATACTACGTGAGATGCGAGGGATTCGAGCATATGTGAACAAGTTATGGGCCGTACCCTTGAATCCTGTGGTTTCAAAGAAAGACAAATCAAAGGGCAGGCAATTTTGCTCGCAAAATTGAGAGTGTAGGGAGGCCCTGCTGTGCTCCGCAGGCATTAGGTACGGTTTCTTGGAGAGACCCAAATAGCTGTCATCGACTCAATTGTGACTCATCATGACCCCCCTTCTGAGAGAACTAGAACCACCAAATGCGGGTTAACTATTTGACCCACACATTCTTTTTAGAGAAAAAGACATTTAAATTGAGACCCAAACAGAAGATTGGAAATTAGTCACCGGTGAAGCATATTTTGGTGTTTGTATTGCTTTTTTTTTTAAGGAAATATGCTTATTTTTGTAAACTAAAACTGTTAACTATCTCAACCTCTTCGCCATCCATACTGATGTTGCCAATTGGCTGTGCATCAGAGAGTTGGACAGTGAATAGGGATGTTAGAAAGAAATTTGATGCCTTTGAGCTGTGGTGCTGGAGAAGAGTGTTGAATATACCATGGACTGCTAGGAGAACAAACAGGTTTGTCCTGGAGAGGGTGAAGTCGGAATGCTCCTTGGAGTCAAGGATTCTGAAGCTTCGTCTGACATACTTTGGGCATGTTGCAAGGAGGGACTGGTCCTTGGAGAGGGACATCATGTTTGGGAGAGTGGAGGGACGGCGCAGGAGACGAAGACCCTAGATGAGATGGATCGATTCTGTGACTGGAGTGGTGGGAATGAGTGCATTTGAGATGGCATGGTTGGCACAGGATAGAACATTTAGGGCTCTTGCACGAAGGGTCGCTATGAGTCGCAAGTGACTCAATGGCACATAACAACAACAACAACATGCTTATTTATTTACATTTTTTAAAAAAGTAATTTTATTTACAGAGTCTTAGGGTTTCCAGTCATTCATTGCTGCACTTTTCTCCTTGCCCACCCTCCCCAATTCACTCTTCTCCTTGAAAAGTAAAAGAAAAACTTTTTTGTTGTTATACAATCTCTCCCCCGCAAGTCCACTCCACTGTGCAGCCTTCATTCTGGACTCCTGTCATGACAATACCCAATCATGTATCACTTTTAAACAGTTTTCTCTCTCATCTGTTGCAATGCAGTATACATCATTCCTCCCCTTCTTCTCTGCCTTCTCTCAACCCCGATGTCAGTTTCATTTTATAGCAGTGGCCATATGCAATATTTGTCCTTTTGTGACTGCGATATTTCACTCAGCATAATGTCCTCCATGGGCACCCATTTTGCATAATATGTTGGACTTACACAGTTCTCAAAACATTTTTTCAAAATTCTTTCCAACTGATGAAAGTCTAACTTTTTCTTTGGGTGCAGGGGAAGGAACCTCTTATAAGGCTAGGCCTCCATTCCTGTATGGCAAATGTTAGTGTAGTGGAAAACCACTGTCCCCTTCAGTGGGAACACACACTCTGTTTCACCCTGTCTCCATCACTCCCTGCTGCATGAGGTCAGTCCGTTTCTACCATTTATATCACTTGCCGGATTCTTGAAGACATTCACATGTACAGACTTAAAGAATTAAGAAAGATAGGAAGTGTCAAATATTTCCGACGTTTCTAAGAGATTGGAGAGAGACTAGGCAGTTTAGACCTGGGGAGGTTAAAAAAAATGGATTGGCAGAGATAATGAAATACTGAGAATGCCGGTGAATAACTGCCTAGTTTGGGTTCCTTAAGAGCAGAACCTGAGGCAGGTTCTCATTCAAGGGCCATATCAGGGGAAATGCTTTCTACAGAGGAGAAGAGAGGGAAGGGAGGGTGAAAGGAGGACCCTTGCAAAGCTGGGGTCTCAGCTGGAGTATGTCGTCACTCGACCTCCCCAGAGAGCGCTGAATCATGACGTGCACTTGAGTTGTCACACCTTGAACCTAAGAAGGCAACTTTCTGTCAGTCTTGGTCAAACAGACACGTGGAAAGAATGTGGGAGCCTTCTGGGTGAGTGTGGCTTCCATTCAGTGGGGACAGTTCTCCAGAGAAGAGACGCTTGTGAGCTGTTCCAGGATGAGGCATCTGTGGTAGAAGGGACATGGAGGGACACTGCTAGCCCCATTATGAAAACTGATAACGTCCACCGTCCTGCGATGGATCTGCCTTAACACACGCCAGTCACATTGTTTAGCATGTTCATCATCTGCACGGTTGTTGTCAACTGTGTGTTCATGGCTGCTGCCTCCAGTAAGGACAACAGTACAGACGCCAACATTCCCGAGTAAGTGGGTTTTCATTATTATTATTATTAATTTTAATGAAAATTTACAGAGACTTTGGATTTCCATTCATTCATTGTTGCACTTTTCCCCCTACCCACCCCTTTACTCCCCAGTTTGCTCTTCTCTTTAAAAAGTAAAAGAAAAAATTCTTTCGTTGTTTTACAATCCTTCCCCCCAGGTCCACTTTACTATGCAGCCTTCATTCTGGACTCCTGTCATGACAATAATACCTAATCATATATCCCTTTTAAACAGTTCTCTCCCTCATCT